CAATAAGCAAATTTTTGTTATCATTACAAACATCCATACATGAATGCTTTCTTCTTGTAATAAGAATATAAAAAGTTTTATTCATAGCTTTGATATATGCCAAATAATTGAAAGTAATTGTTCTTTGATAACTGTATTTTAGTGTTTTTTAATCGATCATTTTGAATTGATAAGGTGTAATACCTCATTTTTTTATAAAGGAGGACATGAGGATGCTTGCTTTGAGCAAAAAATGTGGGCATTGTCTCTACATGATATGTCAAATAACAACTTCAATAAATATTTTGGGTTATGGTTCAAGGATTTTGGTGTAAGATTTTGGATTTTTGGATTCCTGAGAGAGAGTTTTTCATTCATGTTGGATCTCTGGGTATCCATAGAGATACGTGGTTATGTTTACCATGCATGAAGATGAATCTCTCCATCTTCCTTGGAATATAGAGGAACCAACTCCGTAACCGTAATTAGCAGGGGTCATAGGCCCCTTCATCTAGGGATGATTCACTCTTGATCCTCCATGCTACATTCTCGTGTTAGAAAATCAAAAAGGAAGTTGGATTCATTTTCGACTAATATACCCCATTTGTATTAATGTATTATAGAGTATAAAATGTAATTATGCTCCCTCCATTTTTATAAGTAGAGGGTTCATTTCATGAATAAATATTACATGATTTTACTGTTTTAAAATGTGATATTGTTCTCTCTGTTTCCATCTCTTTCACTCGTTCTCATGCTCCATCCCTTAGGGGTGTCTCTCGAACAATTTTGAATTTAACATACAAATTAGTAAATTGTCAGGCTGTTAATCGCCAAAATTAACAATTTTGCAAATCATACGTTGAATTTAACATACAAATTAGTAAATTGTCAGGCTCTAACAATTTTGCAAATCATACAAATGATCATCATAAATAATGATCTTATATTCTCAAATTATGCACGTAATGTACAATATGATAGATTTAATGATAATGACACAAGCGCACTTATTAGTCATATATGCTCCGAAAGAATATAATTGGGCTAACTGAGCCTAATAGATGGCCCAATTTTTGTAAAGAGGCCTATTGGCCACATGCAACTGAGCCCAATCATCAAATTGGGTTGCATAAACGTGGCCCGTAAAAGCCAAACTATCAAGCCACCTCAGCGTTTCCATTCCCACGAATGCCTCCCGGGTTCTTTCTCTCCTCTCTGCTCAGCAGCATTTTTGACATCTCGAAGAGCTCCTTCGAATTTCTCGAAGTTCCCCGTCTCCCAAAACCCTAGCTCAGGGGATCCGGAGCCGGAATCTCTTATCGTAATAACTTTCTTGTCAATCCTGGGCTATATTATTTCTCCGCCATGAATATTTTCCGATTAGCAGGCGACATGACGCATCTATTCAGCGTCCTTGTTCTCCTCCTCAAGATATATGCTACAAAAACTTGTTCAGGTATTAGATCTTGATCTTTCTACTTCTTTTTTTTATTTTTTGTTTTCTGCGAAGTATTTTGATAGGCATTATTTGAAATCTGGGGATGTAGGGATTTCCCTCAAGACGCAGGAGCTTTATGTCTTGGTGTTTTTGACACGTTACTTGGACTTACTCACGGTTTTCGTCTCGGTTTACAATTCGGTAATGAAGGTGGTGTTCATATCAAGCTCGATTGCCATTGTTTGGTGTATGCGCGCGCATCCACTGGTACGGCGGACGTATGATAAGGAGCTGGATACATTCCGTCACTACATTCTTGTCGGTGGGAGTCTTGTGCTTGCGTTTATCTTTCACGATGAATTTACTGTTCGGGAGGTACTTAAAACCTTTCTAGTCTATGGACTCGCTTTTCCAATTTCATTGAGCTATTATTATTATTACTAGGTTAATATTACTCAGGTAGTAATCCGAAGAAAATTATTCATTAATATTAATGTTATTTTTTTTTAAGCATCTCGATCACTTGATTATTTGCATTGGTTTATTTATTTTTTCCTGTTCGTAGAACTTCTTGAACTTCCTCAAACCTTAAATTAATTGTCATTTGACATGCTAGACAATATTTAACTTATTAAATTACTTGCCTATCATATAAAATAAAATTGACATTTGGACTTAGGAAATTAAGGGGCTGCATGGTAAGAACTTTAACAACTTTAGTAAATTATATACATCTGGATTAAGTAAATTCTTCCAATAACATGATTTCGTGAAGTTGGTATTTAAGGAAAAACTGAGAAGAAATTGGATTTACTAAATCTTGGATTTAAAGTTGTCATTTTTTTGTCTGACAAGATTTAAGCTAAATCCCACTTAAATACGTTACCATGCATCCCTTCAGAAAGTTTTTTTTGTATAATGTAGGGATAGATCTTCATATGATTTTTATTGATATTGATGATGTATATGATTTAGTACCAGAAAAGTTGATTTGATGTATGAGGAAAAATGTCTGTTAAAGGCATGTTGAAGTTTAACACATGAATGTAAAGCATTGGTTGGTATTAGAATGCGTTATTAGTTGTGGAAAAATTGAATGGTTTCGAATTACTCAAGGGTGCCAACTAGTTCAATTGATGAAAACCTTTGAAATTATTAGTTTATTACCAAGGTCTTGGATTTGTGTTCTGCCTACATCAATGAGTCCCCACCTCTCATTTGGGAAAAAAAAAAGATTAACATTGATCCCATATGTTCTTGTATTAGCTATAGGGATTTTAACAAATTATATTCATTGTGCGGCACACCCAATTTGAAGTTTTAATTGATGAGAAATCTTCATGCATAATTAATAAGTTAGAACAACCAAGAAATTATTTAGAAGATACATCTTAGAATTTGTAGAGCAAAGATCACACATATGATATGAGATTCTAGTGGATTTGATATTGATAAATTATTAATTAAAATTATTAATAAAATGAAGTATTCATTATAGGTTTAAAGTATTTTGGATTTATTTTATAGAACTACAATGATGTAAATGATGATATAGTTTCTGAAGTTTGGTTGGTGGACTAAAATTGAGAAATAATTTAAATTTTATAAAATTACTATTTGGCCAAATATGTTGTATAAATTCAAGCGTTAAACAATGAGAAAAACATTGATTGTTAAATTAAGTGTAACCGAAATGAGAATCTTATAATGGATGTCATAAAGCTAGGAAGGATAACTTGGAGAACAGGTATATTAGATGGATGGTTATAGTAGCATCTATTGATAGAAAGACTGAAAAATAGATTTAGGCAGCTTGGAAATATGCACTAGTATATGATAAACTATTTTATGGGTAAATAAATTTAATGTTGATGGATTAGGAAGGCGAATTGATGGACTTAATGCTGTTTAGAGGATTTGTGAAGAGTACACTTAGCAAAAACCAAGGAAAAGTCGTTATTCATAAAGCCAACTGCACGTAGTTAGGATAAGGCTAATGGTGATGAAGTTAGGGAAGTTTTTTCATTTTTTTGAGATGGGTTGGGGTTTTTACTTTTTTTGCTATAAAAAACATTTATATATTTGCTAGATAGTGGAAGTACTTCATCGGATGTATTAACGTTAACTTCTTTAGCAAGTTTAGAATATTTTATACTTTCTTATTAAAAATTTTGTTGTGGATACACAACATAAAAGTACTTAACTCTCAAATAGAAGTTGTTAACCATTTATATTGAGTTGATTGAAACTCAATTCATGATTGTATCGTAGTAATTTGATTTGGTTTTAAGCTGAAGTAAGTTTGGCTTTAGAATAGATTGATTAGATCTTAATTCGATCTAAGTATGGTTTGCTATTTGATTGCCATTTGGGCCAAAATTTGAATATCTTGAATGTTTTCTATCCTTAAGATAAAATTCTAGTATAATATTCATTTAAACTAATAATATTTAAGTGTATGTATATAAATGCATATATACATCAATTAAAATGAAAATGTATATATAATATTGTGTATGTACATTTCTACATGCATGCATATATTTTTTGATGTACTCTAGGCTTTGCTTGGTTCACATTTGATTTGTTCTATGATTGGCTTATTAATAACCTCATTGAATTGGCTCTCATTAATAACTTCATTGAATTTAGCCAAATCTCAATCTATTTCAAGAATGATCTTTAAACTTTGAGCCAAATTCATTTTCCTTGTTAGCCATTTTTAGTTTACCCTACTGACATGCCACTTAGCTTATAATTTGCTTACAATTCTGAATAATAACTATACTAGAGGTTTATTTGGATCTTTCATTAGAACTTGATAGCTCTTCCATAAAAAATAAGGTTTGCAGATTGACAAGACACTTTATGGTCTCAAACAATACCCAAAAAAATGATTTGGAAGATTTATAAAAGGCATGTATGAAATGGGGTGCAAATAAAGTCAGAGGCTATACTCTCTTCATAAAATATTACATTGATGTAAAAATTGCAATTCTTATTGTATATATTGAAAATATAATTATTATAGGAGATGCCAAGGAAATGAATCACTCGGAGGAAACTTATTGAAGAATTTGACATCAAGGAACTAGGTAAACTTAAATATTTTCTTATGTATAAATATTGCCTAATTAGAATAAAGACTAATCACCTTTCATTAAAAACATATTATGAACTTATTAAGGAAAATAAAAATGATTGATTGAAAATTATCTGAAACTCTGATCGACCCAGGTAAGAAACGTTACAGATGAAGAAACATAAGTGAATGTTAGGCAATATCGAAGACTAGTGGGATAATCAATCTATCACTCCTACACACTGATATTTCCTTTATAGTAAGTCTCATAAGTCAATTTAAGCACATATACAAAGAACCTCCCTTAAATTGTTTTGTCCTTAGTTATCTTAAATTAAGTATAGAAAATGAAATTCTCTACCAAAAAATGGTACTTTACACCATAACTAATGCTTATTATGCAGGGTCACAAGTGGATGGGAGATTCATTTCATAATATTTCCCACTTATCGTAGGAAATTGTTTAACATAGATACATCAAAAACAACAAAACCTTAATCTCATGGGGTCGGCTAAATGAATCTTTTTTCTTTATTACGTCCTATTTAGTGTCATATTTTCTTTTGTTATAATAAATTAATATCATTTTTTAAACAATAAGCCCAAGTCTTCCTAGATCTACCTTTGTCTTTCTTAATATAAGTTGAATCTAAAACATCTCCTCTCCAAATCGGATCATCAGATGGTCGATGTTTAATGTGACCAAACCATCTAAGACGACTTTCTCTGATTTTGTCCGTCACGGGAGCTACAACAACCCTATCACAGATATAATCATTTCGCATTTTGTCTCTAAGTGTAAAGCCACTCATCCACCTAATCATTCTAATATCGACAACACTTAACTTAGTATTATGCTTCTTTTTTAAAGGCCAACATTCAACGCCATAGACCCTTGCAGGTCTCACCACGCTCTTATAAAATTTTATTTTCAGTCTAAGCGGTAGTTTTCTATCACACAAATGGCCCGAAGCATTCCTCCACTTTAGCCAACCAACTTGAATTCTACTTTTAACATCCCCATCTATATCACCATCACTTTAAACAACAAACCCGAGATATCTAAATCCTTCACATCTTTTAATAATTTGATCACCCAAAGTTACACTTCTGTCACTATAACTACTACTACGAAAATTACATTCCATGTGTTCAATTTTAGCTTTTAGTTCTGCTCAAACGATGGCTTTTAGACTCTAATTTTGGATTTGTAAATTCAAGTTTTTCGTGGGCTTTTTCTCTTGTCTTATTCACGAGAAGGATATCATCAACAAAAAACATACACCAAGGTATATCCTCCTGTAAATATCGAGTAAGACCATTCATAACTAAAGCAAAAAGATATGGGCTTAAAGCTGACCCCTGATGTAATCCAACATAAATAGAAAAATTTTCGGTCAATCCTCCTTCAGTTTGAACGCAATTAACAAATCTAGCATACATATCTTTAATGACTTGAGTATTAGTCATATCAGCACCTTTATTCTCAAGAACTCTCCAAAGGATTTCTCTTGGAACCTTATTGTAAGCTTTTTCTAAATCAATAAAAATCAAATGTAGATCCTCCTTATGGCCTCTGAACTTCTCCATCAAACCTCTCTATAAATGTATAGCTTCCATAGTAGACTTGCCAGACATAAATCCAAATTGAGTATGAGAAATTTTTGTAATACATCTTAACCCATGTTCAATTATCCTCTCCGATAATTTTAAAGTATGACACATCAACTTAGTTCCTCTATAATTGACCACTCTTGTGCATCCCCTTTATTCTTAAAATTGGAGAGCAAAAAACTCTTCCTCCACTCCTAAGGCATTTTTTAGTTTTTAAAAAATAGTAACTGTTTAACATAGATAAAAATAAAATAAAAATAAAAAAAAATAAATTCCAGTGCTGAATCCAAATCAGAGCAATTGCTAATATCATATTTGGAAGATCTAAAGCTATAGAGCCTTTAAAGATACTACGACAATAAATCAGTCTTCAATTTTACTCACAGTTATGGATAATGTGATCATATTGAATATGGAGAAATAGATAGGTATTTTATAAAGAAAAAACTAGGAAGTGTATTGATTTTCACTCCATACGTCCCAAAAAAAAGACTATTTATTGATATATTTACCAATTGGCTTTGTATCCCCAAATTCAATAAGCTTATAAGAGAACTTGTTATGGTAGATTTGTATTATGCAGTTTAATTGGCAATGTTGTAGGGCCATAAAAAAATTCCTCTCTCACAGATTCACTTACAAAAAAGAAAAGAAAGATCCCGCGAGTTGCTCCATTGGC